AGATCTCGAAGGAAAGGGGCGTGGTAATTCAGAGTTGCGTCACGTGTCGCAGACGGCTCACGAAACGTCGCGCCGTTTCCGCAGCCTTACCTGTGCATTGCGCCGACGAAACGATTAGAATTTTCTGGAATCTAGCGCGAAAGGTATTGCTTGAATACATGCTTGAGTGGTGAAGCGCTGAGTATGTACGGTAGGCTGACGCCGACCGATGCAGCCAACTATGCAAAGTGAAAGCTGCTTTACTGAAGCGATTTAGATTTACTGTGGAAGGTTTCCGGAACAGCATTCGCAAAGAGAAACCAGCTGATGGTGAGACGGCTACGCAGTACACCGCCTGGCTTAGCCATTATTTTCACAGATCGATCGAACTTTCAGGCACAACACAGGAAAATGATGAGTTTATAGAGCTCCTTATTAGAGAGCAATTTCTCACCATTTGCCACCCAATCCTGTCGCTGTACTTGAAAGAGAGGAGAGCTAAGTAACTTGAAGACATGCTTGAATTGGTCGACCAATTCTTGGAAGCGCAAGGTGGCAGAAATCCCGCCAAAGTTAAGAACGAGTGTCCCGCAGATTTGAAGAAATCGGCACCCGGAGAAAAGAAGCGAGCACCGGCGAGAGTTCCGCGATGTTTTCTGTGTAATCGAGTAGGTCATCGCGCTAACAGCTGTCGAAGTAACTTTACGAGCCCTACTGTTGTAAAATGTTTCAAACGTGGTCAGACTGGACACAAGGCAGACGCATGTCGTAACGGAGAGAGTCAAAGTAGCTTGTGTGAAGGTGGCTTCAAGAGCCGATGATGACGACGTCACCGATGGATTCGTAGAGTTGAAAATGGGAAGAAACTTCCTGTTGTGGGTGCTGTAACGACAAAACGGTCAAGTGGTGTTACGAAGGTAATGCCAACGCTGCCTGGAAAAGTTGCGGGTAAGAAGTTTACAGTGTAAAGAGACACCGGCATCTCCACTGTTATCGTGCGAAGAAACTTGGTATGAGAAAATAAGTATACAGGCCAAACAATACTAGTTTGCCTAATTGACAGTATGATTCGGGTGCTTCCCGAAGAAGAGATAGAGGTTTAAACCCCGTACTTCAGCGGAAGAGTTACTGCCTTGTGCATAAAGACCCACCTGTACGACCTCGTCATCGGAAACATCGACAGAGCGCGAAAGCCGAACGATGCCGAACTTCTGGGGGAAGACCCGAAGATGGAGCCGCCGGCAACCCAACATTTGAGAGGTACAGTGGAAGAGAATCTCGCGAAGGATTCCACCAAAGTTCAAGGTGAAGCCGCGGTACAAAAGACAGTGAATCGGAAGATGATCGTGTTGAACGAGAGAACGTGCTGTGCAGCTGGAATCGCGACGGAACGACCTCAACCGACCAACAGTCAAAAGTTGACGGAATCGGCCAGCCAGGCCCAATGTCGTGACGTGAACAAGCTGGTGAATAACTAGGCAAGTTCAGTTGAACGTTATGACCCGTTAACCGTGTCGAATGTGTCAACGATGGCTGAGACGCCACCTCAGATACCAACGATTGTAAGGGCTCACCGGAACAGAACAAAGAAAAATAAGAAGAGATCGAGCGAGCACCACGAGAAAGGGCGCAAGCGCAGCTGGAAGTACACAGGATAGGTGCTGAGGTCGAGTCGGAATGTGTTTGGCAGTGTTGAGCCTCAATGTGTTGTGTTGTTGTTATCCTGTGTCACAAGTGTATGTCGAGCGAGTCAAAGTGTTCGTTGCGGTGACGTGTTGTATAGGATTGTACAATTGTAAGTGTACATTTCTATTGTTTGAAATGTATGATGAAGAGTTGCACTCAAGTGCATGTGGTTATATTTCATGTGTTGTTAGAACTAATTGCATTGTGCAATTGTATTGAGTGTTCTAGTGTGAATTTGACGCGCCATGAACGATGGACTGTGTTATTGACTGTTGTTGTGTGGATCTTTTCGCGCTCATTTCTGGGGTTTTGAATATTATGCGACAATATTCTTAAAGTGGGGGGGGGGCAGTGTCACAAAAGAGTGCTCAAAAAATGGCCCAAATCTACATGTTACACTGTAAATGTCGTCGAAAGACAATAGCCTTGCGTCTGAAGAGAGTGAACAAAACGTTTATTTCATGTTCTGAGCAAAAAAATTGGTGAATGGTATTCTAAAGGCGCTGCGTTAGAGTGCCGCGAGCGTGTTACGGAGACAAACAAGCGCATCTAGGCACGCTAGACAAAAGCACCATCTGGCAGTTATCTTCGAAAACGAAGGCATGCGTGACCGCGGAGGAAGATGCGCGCCAGTCTCGGAGGTGATAAGGTGTAGAATGCAAAGTGACGTGCAGGTGCCAGCACCGTGCTGTGGGAGCAAAGCGTTGGAAACACCTTCTTGAGCATCGCGTTGCACAGTCAGCGCAGCGCGTTAAACGCTACAGCTCTTAGAGTTAAATGTGTGTGCCTCTTCTAAGCATAAAGGCCGACATACAAAACATAGACATGTTGTTTTGGTACCTCAGATATGCGCAATATTTGCATTTTTTAATTGACAATCGCACAATTATGAACGCTAAACCTTGAGCAATATTGCTGGGCGCTGTGGATGGGGTTGGCCGTTTGGTGCCGTTTGACGTACTGTTAGGGCAGACAAACATGCAAACGTACAGACAGACAGACAGACCAAAATTATTTCGTCGAAGGTGCCCAAGAAAGACAATCGTCTTTAAAAAAAGAGCGCGCCGCCGAATTCTGGTGACCAAGCGCCAAGAGGCGCCTCAAGGTCTACGCTAAAGGAGAAAACAAGCATCCAAAGAGTCACCTGGCGCGCCCTCTCTCCTCCTCGGAAGTGTCATTTCACCGAGCAACCTCCTCACACCGGCGGCCGAGCAAGCTCTGGAAAGATATCGAAGGAAAGAGACGTGGTGATGCAGAGTTGCGTCACGTGTCGCAGACGGCTCTCGAAACGTCACGCCTTTTCCCCAGCCATGGCTGTTCATCGCGCTGACGGAAAGACTAGAATTTTCTGGAATCTAGCGCGAAAGGTATTTAAGAGAGCAGAGGAGAAGAGAGATCAGGAGAAAAAGAAAGTTTCCACTCGTGTACGTAGGCGGAGATGAACGTTTTGCGCAAGTGGCGCAGGGTCATTTCGCCGTGTCGGCGAGAGCTTCTGTCCTCAGTGACAAAGCAGGTAATGAAGATTTCCGCTTGAAGGGTGAGGGCTGGTGCTACCGGCAGAAGAATAGTATGAGTCTACCGCCTGAGAGCGAAGATGCGTCCTGCTATTGCAACGCGTGAGAAGCCGACGTGTTAGCTGCGAAGAAGTTTGGTGCTTGGAGAGCGGCCAATGGAAGACGCGAGGTTTCCTGGAGGAGAAACTTCGGAGGCAGCGGATCGGCAACAGCGCTGGACTCTAGGTGAGTGATTCTTGGAAGAGTATTATTTAGACTTTGTTCCAAGGACTTTGGACTGAATATGTTTTCGAACTCTTTAGTTTTTAAGTGTCTTGGTTGTTCGATGCATGTGATTGCATTGTAGCGCGTATTGTTGTTTGTGTCTGTTGTTTCGAGTGTGGCTGATTGTACTGTGTAGTACGTTGTTTGATTGGTGACATATCGTATTCAACTATTGTCTAGTGTGCATATTTGTGTATCGTTTGATCTGCCATATTTGAGAATATATTTTGTTTTGATTATCAACTCTCGGCTCTGAGTCGTTCTTTGGACCACAGCCGGAGTCCGCTGGCGCGCCAAATAGAACCACTTCTAAATTGTCCGCGCTTTTGTGCTGCAGTTCGGGAGACTGATACTTCGGTCCTTGGAATTATTCCGGCGATCGCCTCCCCAATTAACGGGACCTGTGACAGAGGGTGCACACGGTTGTGAAATATTTGCAGCTTCAATTTGTATGAAATAATCAATTATTAGTTCCCGTTGTTTCTAACCTAATTTAGCTCACCCATAAAACGTTTCATTGAAATCGATTCAACACTTTTGAGGAAAGGAGCAATAAAGATAAAAAACTTGTAAAAAAACACTATGCGAGATAAACAAAATTTGACGTACGCATAATGCTTTCGCCAAAGGACACGCGGCGCACTTTTGCGGCACTTGAAGCACCTGGGGAGGCCGCTTGACATCACGCTTCCACGGGTTTGTTTCTCAGAGTGCAGGAAATTTTTTGGTGTCAAAACTGCAAATTCAACTTTTTAGGGGGTTTATGTTATAATACCTCTTTAACTCGAAGCAGGGGACCGCGTTGATCGCAAAGCCACGGCGGATATTTTGCGCGCCGCCTGTCGGCCTCGCGAGCCATGTTACCTGCAGTAGTGGCAGCGCCTGTATCTCCAGTGTTCTACGTCGATCCCCTTCATGTAGCCGCTAGACTTTGCTATTAATACATTCTTAGGAATGCGCCAGAGCTAATAAAGCAGCAAACTCAAACGCACCACGAAAACACCACCAGTTCTAATAAATAAGCACTACTGCAAGTGGCGCACCAGAAGCCTTCTCCTTGAGTGGGCTGTACGGCGCAAGTCAGTTTGTTTACAAGCACTGAAGTTGTGTACAGAACCCTGCTTTTATTTTTTTCTGCTTATTTTGGGGGCTTTCTGCTTCTCTGTATATAAATTGTAAACTGGCGGGACAATAAACTAAATTTAAGCTGAATTTTGATTTTCTGCGTGTATCATTTTCTGCGTGTATTTTCTGCGTGCTTCTCCAAAATGCTCAAAGGCATTCCCACCACTGATATGCAAAAAAATTTGTGTACATTAAGCATTTAGCTTGGTAACAGATTGATATTTATTATTATATGACTTCGTAAAACCAAGAAAGCTTGTGCTTTGCACAACCTAGAAACGGAAGTTCCAAAATACAATATGACAGTCACAGACAACAAACTTTCTACTTTAATTTTCTTCACTCTCTTATTTTGTCTCATATTGAGCTGCCTTGTCAAGGCCACGTAGTGGGTAAGTACTACTCATCTGCAACAGGAACAAGAATTATACCATGCACTGGTCACGCTACGTTTACTCTCTCAGCTGCCTTTTGATCGAAGTTGGCGGCGTCAACGAGCTGCACACTTCAACGATCCACCTCCAGGAGGGCCTGGTGACGGAAAGCCTCGCTTTCGAAGATCTTTCTCGCTTCCTGCTGTCTGAGCAGCTACGCATCAGAACGAGCATTGACGAGTTCCAAACTGCGACCTCTGTGCCACCGCGGCACGACGATCCACTGACGAAGTTTGTTTTCGCCAGCCGCCTAGGCAACTACTGCGAAACGCTCACCAGGGCCGTCATCGGGTGGCAATACGAAGACATCCTTCGCAGCCTCCCCGATTCCGAAACCTTGTGGGCTTGGTGGCCAATGTCAAGTGACTTGAAGGGAGCAGCTGAAGGTGTGTGTAAGCTGCAGCAGGTCTACGACGTTCCCGTTCGACAAATGGTCTCGATGCGCTCCAACCTGCTGCCGTTGCCATCTCCCAATGACCTTAAGGATGTGGCCCGAGGTTGTTTCACAAAGGGACGCTTCGGAAACAGCACCATCTGGTCCAAAGCCGCCCTACGAAAAATGAGACGGCATGTGGCGGCTAGGCACGGACGCCGGTTTCGCATGGGAATTGCGTCCCTGCTCGCGAACAAAGCAGGTGAGACTGCGTATCCACTGCCGCCCGGAAGTGATATGCAGCATTACAAGTCAATCTGCGTTCGCTCCGGTGACGTTTGGCCTCTGCACGGTGACCTGGTCTGCCAGTACTCCGTCGGTGGCGGCCATCCGCATCTCTTGCTGCAGCCGCTCAAGGTGGAGTTCCTCTCGTACGATCCTCGAATCGTCGTTTTACACGACTTCGTGAGTGCCTGGGAGAGCCAAGTCATCCGCAATATGGGCGCCAAGAACCTCGTTCGCGGCACCGTCTACACCGAAGAAAACCCTTCCGGCGTTTCCAGCCCGCTTCGAATCAGCAAGGTGAGTATAATGAGTGTGGTGCAATATGCCATTATGAGGCATGTACGGTGAATAGACATTGTCATTTTCCTCTACCAACGTTACTGAAAAGGCGTAACCAGAAAAGGGGGTAACTGAGGCATAGTCATTCTCAAAATGGCCAGTAGGTATGGATTTAGCCCGCATGGCCGGGTTCGCCCCAACCGCCCCGCCCTCCTGAACTAGGGGATACACCACTGCCAACATTCATATAGCGCAGAGACAGAAGGTAAGTGCATCCACATGAAAGAATGCACAGTGTAATATGAGGTAGCTTGGTGTGCCCTTGCAAATATGCACAAGGCTTTGTCCAGTATGATCTCCATACAACCTTCTTCACCAGTACTGTTTACCCTTTATTACGAAAGACTGAGTCAGTCTTTTGACAATGATGCTGTTTAAGCTCGCCGTAATTTTTCTGTCACAAACCGAGATGAATATTATCACGAACCACTCCCCAATCTTCATCCCCTTCTTCTTCGCTCCCAAATGAGGCACGCTGATTTCTCTGGAGTGAGCTCTAGTAACCCTGACATATAAGAGAACGAGCCATGAGACGCCGAAAGCGAAGCAAAGAAAGAGGCTAAGAAATACAATCACAGATAGAGTGAGAAAAGGCTTAAAAGGGGGGAACCAGCCAGAAAGAGCTATAGAAAGAAATGAATGAGCGAGCAAGAGGAAAAAAATTGGCCCCGTATCTGCATGTTATTCTGCAAATGTCGTCAAAAGACGATAGTCTTGCGGGTGGAGAGAGTGAATAAAACATTTATTTGATGTTTTGAGGCACAAGAAAGTTGGTGAAGGATATTCTGGAGGCGCTGCGTTAGAGAGCCTCGAGCATGCAGCGGATGTGAACGAGCGCATCAAGTCACGTCACACGTAAGACAGGAGCGCCACCTAGCAGTTTGCTTAGAAAACAAAGCGCGTGACTCTGAGACGGGTGTGCGCGCCCGTCTCAGAGGTGAGAAGGTGTAGAATGGAAGGCGACGGGTAGTTGCCACCACCGTCTCGTCTTAGCGAAGCGTTGGAAACACTCGCCTTTTCTTTCAAGTGTCGCATGGTTAGCGCAGCCTAATAAGCGCTGCGGTCCATAAAATTACTTATGTATGCCTTTTCTAGTAAAAGACGCACATGCAGAATATATACGTGTTGTTATGGTGCACCAGACATGCGCAATAATTGCTTTTTAATTGACGATTGCACAAGTATGAACGCTGAATCTTGAGCCCCATTGGTAATCGCTACTGAGGCGGTCAGCCGTTCCAAGTACCCGATGCGTCTAAGAGTGGACAAACACACAAATGTACAGACAGACAGACAGACAGACAGACAGACAGACAGACAGACAGACAGACAGACAGATCAAAATTTTTGCGTCGAAGGTCTCCAAGAAACACTATCGTCTTCAAAAGACACAGATGAGACAGAAATCTTTGTCTAGGTCCAGAGAACCGCTAGTGCACAAAGTTGTTGGAGTAATCGGCCTCTGCCACATTGGAACGGGTGAGCCGAGCCTCATCGCCGCGTCGCTAGCCCTTTCGGTGGCTTTGAGTTGATGTAGACGTTCTGAGCACAGAGCTGCTTGCCTCTTTTGGTCGAGCGTAGAGGACTCTGCGATAAGGGGCAGTGTCAGAGCGTGTGGCGCCCCAATCTGGGCGAGTTGGATTAAGGCTCTCTGTGAACTGGTAGTGCGATAAAGACAGGTGTATGACCTGCTTTTAAGCATTCAAAGCGTAGACACCTGTATTCTAGAGAGTTTCGCATGGGGAAGCAAGAAGACTATCATTGCTAACTGGTAATCGTGGCCTCGTTAAATGTTAGGAAAACGTTCCTAAATACCGTATGTTTGTGTTCAAAGTTTACCCAAGCTGCCCAGCGTGGTTATTTCATGTAGAAGGATGTGTGCTTGAGAAAAAGAAAAATAGAAATTTTCTGGCTTTTTATTGATTTTAATTTACTTATTGAGAGAGAAAAATAGAACTGAACATAGGAAAAAAGACATAATAAATAAACAGAGAAACATAAAGCAATACAGGAAGAAAGGCAGATGATTTGCAAAGCGTATCAAAATAGCAAAAAGATAGAATATATGGGTGACCGTTATCTCCGCTATCCCTTTACCATTGCGCCTCACACAGAAGCCACGCTCTCAATTTAACTTTTCCATAATGCATAATGCTCTTGTGATGCTAGAGATTTCTTTCCTCGTGTGTCAGCACTTTTTCGAATTCTGGAGGCAGAATTGCTGCCCGTATGAAGCCACTTTTCTCAGAAATACGCGCTTTGTTGTTTGTCATGGCATGTAACAGTATGATGACATGTGATGTTTTTTGGTGGAATTGCTATTAATAGTGTACAGTATGAGTTCTCAGGATCCATGCATGGGTCACGTTTGAAGCTTATGAATAGAAAAGACATTAGTCGGGGCGTTCTTGACGTTTACTCGGCGCAGCTACCCTCCTGAGGTGATGTTACTTCCCTTCCAGTGGAAACCCTGGCATCATAGTTTGAGAAGCTGTGCCTCTGGTCGCAAATGCTACATGGCGTTCGGCGTGCGCAGTTGAGGAAGTGGTGCTCTAAGTGTCGGCTAGTTATATGGTGCAATCTATGGTGCAGACAACAAACAAGTAAAGTGGTGCTTACAATAGGCCTGGAGCTCTTCGCCCAGGACAGTGAGCAATGTAGTGCCATAAATAGCGATCTTTCAAAGAATATTCTGAAAACACTCTTGGCCAGCAGCTTCAGTTGGTTGTCGGTAGGTAACTTTGGTTTGCGTCCTTATTTTGTCTATTCGTTGGCAGGTCTCCTGGCTCAGTGAGGACCAGCACCCGCTTTTGGCCAATCTTGCCAGGCGCATTGCTGCTACCACGGGACTCTCGCTGGAGTCAGCAGAGCTGTACCAAGTGGCAAACTACGGCCTTGGTGGCCACTACACACCTCACCCTGACGCGAAAGATTTTGGCGACCTCGCGGACGAAGCAATAGCCGAGCGTCCTGACGGCAACCGGCTGGCCACTATGCTTCTCTTCCTGTCGGACGTATCGATAGGCGGCGCAACGGCGTTCGTGGATCCCCCAATGGCAGTGAAGCCCCGGATTGGCAAAGCACTGTTCTGGTTCAACCTGAGGCCCTACGAAGGCGATGACAGGCCGCGGCACTTCGACTTCTGGCACGAAAAGAAGATTCTTGACACACGCACATGGCACACTGGGTGCCCGGTGCTGCGCGGGTCTAAGTGGATTGCGACCAAGTGGATTCACGAAAGGGGCAACATCCACGTCGACTATGATGTGCCCGTCTAATAGGCGACTGATTGCAACTGCCGAGCGTGCGCGCAAGAACACGGGTGTTGTTTATGAGTCTTACATAAACTTCTCTTACGCATTTGCCTAGTTGTGCGTGGATATCACCAATTGATCCTTAAAATGTCATCCTGCGGATAAGTTGCTGAATGAACGAGCGTTCATGCAGCGCAGAATGTTTTCGCAACAATATTGATGGCTAACGACTAAAAGCAGATAAACAAGTGCTTATACCACGCTTATACACTGATAAACAGTGGCGATTCTACAAATGTCAGTGTTATTTCATCTGATATGCTTCATTGACTGTTCTACAATAGTGCGTGCCGGTTACACCGGTGCTGCTACTTCGCAGATAAAAATTTTATTATCTCGAATAATGTTCATCAGCATCAGCAGCTTGACTACGCTCACGGCATGGCAAAAAGGCCTCTCCCATCATCCGCGAATGGACCCAGCCTTTTGCTTTCTGCTACCACGTTATACCTGCAAACTTTTTAATCTCCTCGGCCCACCTAGTTTTCTATCTCCCCCTAGTGCGTTCGCCTTCTCTAGGAATCTTTCCCTATTGACCAGAGGTTATCATTCCTTCGCGATAAATGCCCAGCACATGTCAATTTATTCTTATTGATTTCCACAGTGATATACCTAATGCCGGTTTGTTCCCTGGGCAACTCTGCTCTCTTCTTGTCTCTGCAGGTTACACTTTTCATTTTCATTTTGATCACTCGGTGCGTTGTCGTCTATTTAAGCTTAACCCTCTTTGTGAGCCTCCAGGTTTCCAAGTACCGGCTAGATTCAGCTGTTGTACGCCTTCCTCTTGAGGGATAGTTGTAGATTACCATTCATGATTTGAGCATGCGTGTGGAATGGGATCAACTCTATCCTTATTCTTTCAGTTCTTTCCCTGTAATGTTGTGGCTCTGCGGTGGCTACTGGTCATAACTAAACATCTTCCTTTAGAACTGGAAGCATCTCTTCAACAATCGCAAAGCATTGTTTGCTGCCAAGACTGTTGGACAATACAAGAGTTTTATGCATATTATATTCTGACCTACTCTCCTGCTTTCCGTGTTAGGCCAGTAGTAATGAGCTGTAATTCGTCCCCTGAGTTACAGATCAAAGCAATGGCATCCGCAAATCGCAGGTTACTAAGAAACTCTTCATTACCTCTTATCCTTAACTCTTCCCAGTACTGGGCCCTGAAGACCTCCTGTAAACACGCGGTGAATAGCATTGGAGTTATTGTGTCTCCCTGCCTTCCACCCTTCTTTATTGGGATTCTATCACTTTCTTTGCGGAGAACTATGGTGGCTGTGGATCCGCAGTCGATTTCTTTCAGTATGTTATTGTAGCATTCATCGATGTCCTAATTCGGTAGTGCCTGCCACATTGCTGATATCTCGGCTGAGTCAAACGCCTTCACGTAATACATGAAGGTTATGTATAAAGAGTTGAAACTTCAGCAAGTTGGTACGGATTAATCATGATTCTAACAGCGCATGGAGGAACGAACACTGCCCAAAGAACATGCAAAACACGGGCACCCCTTTTGGGCACCTTCTCTTTTACTTGATTTATTTGATAGTTTGAACAGTTTTACAGCATCTTTTACGAAGTTCTATTTATTGTCGAACGGTGCACTGAAGTGAACTTCACCGACGAAGTGACGACGTCTTGATGGATTTTATGTGTGCTTAAGAAAAAAAAACAAAATACGTTGAAGCAGCTGGTGAGATAATTCAACAATCGACACACTATGCATCTGTGAGTGGCCAATCACGCTACTAGAAAATTGTTTGCACCACTTCGGGAAGTTTGATTGTTACGGGAAATAGTGTTTTTGTAACCATAGCAGGTATCCGCTCGACTGCATACTCGTGACACGGTCGGCTACGAGACATTGACAAAGCCGTCGCTCCGAAGTTGAAACGTGCCAACTCCATGAAAGCGTGACGCCATGAGCAGCTGCATAAGACGGGGCACAACGAACTCACTACCATAAATATTTTCCTGCAGAAACAGCACAAAGAGCAGATTTTTCAAACCACTTTTTGTGAAGCGGGGCGGCACAAAAGCCTGCTTGTCGTAGGTCTCAACCAGCTGCTGTCAATTGTTTAGGACTCGCCGCGGCGGCGAGTTGTATGCGTACGCTGTGCCGTTCAATATTTCTTCTTTGTGGTCCGCATAATAAACGGAATACGCAATGTTGTCATTCCACGCCACATTTTTAAGACGCTACCTTAACCAAGCCTTACTCAAGTACGACGAAAATTCCGCAGAAAGTGCAAGGTAGGTTCTTGAAACGTGTTGTGGGTGAACTTAAGACTATGGCTGACTTAATTCTAAGGATAACTTTAACTTAGGTTTGTGAATAAGGGTGTCGGTCTTCTGTCACTTTTTGCAGGCTGTTAGAGTCTCTCAATTATATACCTTCTGATGTTGGCTACTTTACGCTTATAGCTCTACTAGCTCTACTTGGTCGGTTGCATTCGAGAATTTTATAGTTTGCCGTCTTTTGATGAGATTCTTCGTCCCTTGGGAGAGTTTGTCAGTATCCTGCCTAGTGACTGTACCTTGGACTTCCGATGTACGCTCTTTGGATACTAGTGTGATTATGGTTCGTTGAGTCAACGCTAACGTCGGTTACCTCGTTTAGAGCCGCGAATCTATTCTTAAGCGAAACTATGAATGCATGTACTTGCCCTCTCACCGCTAGCTCGTTAATTCGTATCTTACGTATCAGTTTATCCCTTTGATTTTTTAAATCTAGGTGAACTTGAGCTCTTACCATTCTATGGTCGCTTCATTGGATCTTGCTAACTACTCTCACATCCTGTACACGGTTAGCGTGGAATATTTCCAAAAAACAAATGAATGAAACATGTGTGTATTTATAGCTATTAATGTACCCACGTACCAGATTCAAGGAAAACGGCAAGCGAGAAACACTTTCTAGCTCCCGAATGCATATATACATCGCCTCTTTAAATCTTTTGCCGAAAGTGTACTGCAAAGAACCTTGAAATAAACATGGTCACTCACCTAGTGTGAAGAGAAATATTGATGTTTTGCCATCGCTTATGGGTTCACTCAGATGAACTGGAAGTCATTGTCGATTAAGTCAATATTACGGCACGATACTGTGTTTGTGTTCAAAGTAAAGAATATACTTCATTTCCTTAGGGACGAATGAAATCCTTGTAAAATAAGCACTGGGTTAAAGTGAGCGTTTGGGCGAGTTGATAAATAATCGCCAAAAACACTTTCAACAGCGTGGGAAAACACGAATGAACTAAAGGGAAGTGACACGGACAGCTCTGTAGTCTACGTCGCCCTTCTTAAGTCCGTTCTTGTTTTTACGCGCTTTTCAATGTTGTATTCTCGAAGAAGGCCTTGAGCAAAAAGTTTTGGCAGAGTTCAAAGCTGCATTGGAAGTTTTCTTGCACCGTGATTTTGTATCTTGCTACATTTAACCAGTTTCTACATCGCTCGAATGCCATAGAGCCAGTGCCCAACCTTCCTGCTGCCTCCTATTTCTTTTCACCAATCTATGCTTTCCAAGTTGGCACTACTATGTACCCCATTGCAATTCACTTGAAACTTGAACAAGGCAACAAGCTCGAGGTACTTGTGAACACACAGCCTTTGCCCGAGGTACTTGTGCGTCGCTCCAATGGCGCTATGTCTTCCGTCGGCCGTGAACTGAACCACCAATGTCCAGTATCTTGACTTTGCACCCTGCCACCCTATCGGGCACAATACATCTGTTGTGTCGTCATAGACGCATCGTGTACCCTACTTTGCTCTAGTGAAGACAAACTGCAAAAGACGATTTTTACAATGAGCCGGAAACAGGAACAACGAATATCTTTCCCCTTTTATGCACGAAAATGGAAAAAGGGTGCTGAATCCTCACCCAGCAGATGATGAAGCTTATCAAAAACAGGCCAGCATTCGAGGTTTACGTAAAATTTTGTCCCCATTATTCTCTTAGTACAACTTAGGCTTATGCCAGCAAATGAGCTACGCAACAAGGTTGTCAATGGGGAAAATCCACTACAAGAAAATGAGTTTCAGGAGCAACCTTTATGATGCAATACAAAAACTGCGATTCCTGTTATATTGGTCGAACGGGACAATCTACGTGATGAAACAAAAGCACAAAAGCGAATGTTCAAAAAATAATCGCCGTGACTTGAACGCTTTTACTAAGCGTATGCAAAAGAGTTGTCGGGCGGGTATGCTACGTGGCGTTGTCGAAAGTTGGTACAATGGCTGTCAGTGGTTTCCTGGCAATTCTTGCATAGACAGACAGGCACGTTTTCTGCCTTCGCTGCTCTGAAATCCCACGGTGACATCAAGGTTTTTTTTCTGGTGTCGTCAGGCAGTATAACGTCGACCATTGTTGTGGGGTTCCTTCCGTAAACCTGCGGGAAAAGTGCCGCCTGCGTGCTTTCTTGTACCGCTGTGTTGTGGGTGAAAGTAACGTGCATAAGAATGTAGCGATCCAAGGGGGAAAAGAGGAGGCGAGTAGAAGGAGAGATAGAGGAGGACTGGAGGAATATCAGTAAATGGCTGATACCAAGCTGCTGTAGTTGAAACTTCATATTTGGCACAGCCCGACAGGATCCGGAAGATGTGGCTAAACTTGTACTTCACAGAGTGGGATGGCCATCCACTGATTGCAGGCTACGAAATGGATGGCGAGAGCTTCGTTGTGGTGCCCAAAAAGATGAAAACACTGAGCCGAATTGAGTCCATCACTATTAGCGTCACAGAGCCAATCAGCGAAGTTATGGCCAGAGGGACAGTGAAGATTAGTATAACTCTCCCGATTTTCGAAACATTAAAAAGATAAACTTCAGTGAAGAGCCATTTTCTAGCCATTCCGATGCAGTCACCGACAGGACAAGCTGGTAGAAGGCGCTTTTTAGGAGACAATGGTGCAAAACAAGAACTACAGCAGCAACAAGCACTCTGGACGATGCTGACATCAGGCAGGACATAACGGCAAACCCCGACCCGTTTGAAAGCAGTTCAAGTGTGGATGACTAATTTAAAGCATTCAAGTGTGTATGT